CATCTTGAGAGTAAGGCACGGTGCTCCCAGAACTCTCCTAAACTGAAAACATTCCATCTTCTTCTCCACAGTCATCTTTTTGCCAAAATAAGCCAGGAAAGGTTCTGTGAGTGTCTGGATTCCAGCAGGAATTGAGCTGGTCTGAGAAAAAAAAACAAAGAAAAAGGAAAAAATCCCCAAATGTTGATTTGTTTAAACTTCTTCACAAACTTTACCGCCCAAGGAAACCAAAAGAGACAAGGTTGTAATGAAGCAATCAGCTGACGCTGCTAATATTCCAGCAACAAGAAATGATTCCCGGGTTTCATGGGGTAGATATGAATAGGGTCATTAAAATATGGCCAAGGAGAGAGGGAGGGTTTACTTTTTCTGTCTCCTTCCAGTCTGTGTTCTGAAAGCTCAGCAGGAATTTAAACAAATAGCATAGAGGAATGGTGAATCCGATCATATTTAAAGAAAAAGCCCCTTTCAGACTTCTCCTTTTAATGCATTGGCTTCTGCAAGTTTTGCTTTTGAAAAACATTGCCAGTTTGGATTTTTTTTTCTCCATCTGGAAAGCCTACTTGAGGAAAACAAAATTAGCATCAACTTCTTCTAATATTTTTCTGCCTTTTTTCCTCCTCTAGGTCAAGAAGAAAATGTTGTTCTTTTCATGTAAATGAATGCTAGGGGAAGGGTAGGAAGGTAATAAAGAATAGGGAACAGAGTCATAGTGCTTCTCCCTTTGGTTAAAAAGTAGAAAATAAGGACGGGGATGTAGCTCGGAAGTGGAGCACTTACCCAGCATGCAGAAGGCCTTCTATATAATCCTCAACGCAGAAAGAGAAAGGGGTGGGGTGGGAGTGCAGCTGGGAGTATAACTCAGGGGTATACCGAGTGCTCGGCATGCACAAGGCCCAAGGTTTGATCCCCAGCACGAATAATTAAAGTTACGGGAGAGTCAAAGGTAAATGGAGAGTTATGGACAAAAAGGGGAAATGGGACTGTGACGGTCACAGCCACAGAGGGAGGGTGGAATCGGAATCGGGTCTGGAATCTGCATTCCAGACAACAGGCCATTCTAAGAAGAAGGGCTGAGGGGACGCTCCTACCGCCCTCAGAAGGACACTTTCAGACCCAACTAAGGCAGGAAGACAGAAACCCACGGGGCCCCGGGGCTCCTTTCATTTCCGCAGGCCTCAGTCTTCTCAGTTGTACAGCAGACCCTACTTCATAGAGGCTTCAAGGTTAAATAACACAAAGGAAATTAGAACCGTGTCACCCGGCTTAAAGAGTCCTGCAAATGTTAAATAGAAATATTAAAAAAAAAACCCACGAGGCACTCTTGGTGTGGATCCGGAGCCTTGGAGGGCACTCTAGCCAGCGCCCTCTTGCTTCTCTAAATTGGGCGGCCAGCTGCGGGCTGTGGGGTGGCTGGAGGTCCCAGGACTCCTCGAGTTCGCTCAGCACACTTTGGCCCGAAAATGCAGCGAGGTTTTTGCTTCTCTCTCCTTCTGTTGTTGGGTTCTGATTACTTCCATCTGGCTGCAGCCGCTCCAGTGGAATCTCCAACAAAACAAAACAAAAACCCTCCCCAGAAAACATATGCACCAAACCCAAAAGGCTGCTTCATTTCTCTTCAGCGCTTCGCAGGCAACTTGCGCGAGCCGCGGAGGGGGGCGCAACAGGACCCCCAGCACCTGCGTATGCTGCCAGCAGGAAGAGGGTCCGCGTGGACCCAGTCCCCGCCTCCCTTCCTCACGATCCGGGCTTCCGCCCCTGCGCCCGGGGAAGCGGGCGCCCTGGGAACAGCGACCCGGGCATCTCCAGGAGGAGGGAAGAAGTAGGGAGGGCAGGGGGGATTTCAGAGATTGAAAACAGAGCAGTCCGAGCGCCCGAGCTCCTGAGCTCATCTGACTTTAGTTAGCGACACCCCCCAACCCCCCCGGCCCGGCGCCTTGAAAAAGTGCTGCAGACTGGCGAGTTCTGTTCCCTGCTCCAACTTTCCTGTAGAGGAGGAGGAGTCCCCGCCGCCCCTTTCCCCCCTCCCCTTCGCGTGGCGACCGTGTCCCCCCAGTCTCCCCAGGAGGGGTGCGCGGAGCGCCCGTGTGTGCCAAAACCGAGCGCGCGGGGGCGCTGCGCAGTCCAGCGGCGCTGATAGATTGCAGGAGTGCCGGCGCTCGCCAGCCGAGGCAGCACGGCTCCGCAGACTTTTTTTTCAAACTCCCATCAATGAGACTTCGAGGAGGAGCGGGAGGCGGCGGCAGCGGACGCGTAGGAAGGCTAGGAGGCGCGGGAGGAGCCGGGGGAAGGAGCGCGGGCCGCGCGGCACGCCGGAGCC